TCAGTTTCTGGTGATGGATGCAGAGTTTGACACGCTGGTCAGCCCCACTTTACCCGATTTGCCCCTCTCCCAGCACCACTCCGCCCCCACCCATCCCCCGTCCCCCAGAACCCCCCCACGCCCCACCTGTTCATGGTGCCGCTGGCTGTGACCATCGAGGCACTCTGGTTCAAGGTGTTGGGAGGCGCAGGTGGCCCCAAGCCCATGGACACGCTCATCACCTCAACGTTCAACCCATCTGCCATCTCGGGGGCACGCGGAACGTCAAAAAATAGGAGAAGAGCTTCGACCCGCTGACCCTGCTCAGGGGTAAAGATACCAAACGATACAAAATGTCGCCAAAGAGTTGGCCCAGTCGCAGGGCTGCGGAGACTGGAGCCCACATTGGACTGAGGAAACAGCAGCCTGGGCCCGCAAGGTGGGCATGTGTTTTTTCATGAGGTCCCCGTCGGCTGACAGGTCCTCCTGGTGGTCTCCTTATCAACTTATGGCCAAATATGTCCCAAAATATGGCCTTACTGAGGGGCACGAAGCCTCAAGGCTTCTTGCCAGAAAACCCCATACAGGGACCTCGGAAAGCAAAAACCCTAACTTCCCTCGTTTCCGTTCAACGCGGTGGGGGGAGATAACACTGTCCGTATCTTTCTGTGATACCGTTGATTGCTTGATTCCAATCCCCATGACTACTTTATCATCTTGAACATTCTGTCAACCCTGGCATCACGGAAGGAAATGGCCCGAAAGCCACATTTGCCACAACCATGGCGTGCAACTAAGTTCTCCCCCAGCTGGAAGTGCACAAACCCCTCTTGAAAACCCAAAAGGCCGCCGCTAAAAGAGACAAGGTAAGGACTTTGGGCCAAAGGGAGGCCTCAGCCGCGTCTCACAGCTGCGGGCCGAAAGCAAATCTGAAAGCAGGCCCTTGAAAGTTTGTATGACCAAACAAGTGGTTGATAGTCTGATGCCGAAGCACGTGCGCTTTGAGGGCCTAGTAACCACACATGCCTCCCCTCTTCTTCGCTTGGCCTTTCAGGCCAAGCCTTGAGCGCTTTCTGGGAAATCACTTCCAAGAGCCACGTGGAAATTAAGAGAAAAGCAAAAAGTGGGCTCAGGGGTCACTGGAATTCCCCTTCGAACAAGTTGCGATTCTGCGTGGTGTCCATTGAAACTGCCACCTGTTGTGGTTCCAAAACATGCGGAACTTGCGAAGGAACTTGAGAGCAGGATGGGCAGCCCATGGCCCAAGTCATCAAGTCTCCCACCCCCGCCTCTCCAAAAGAGGGAGAGGCCTATCCCCAAAGACCGGCTCTTAGAATCTCCCAGGGTCCTCCCAACCATCTACATACACCAAGGGAAATATAGGGCGAGGCAAGTCTAGAAAGAAGACGGGACCAACCTCTTGGTTAAAAGCCGAGATGGAAAGACGAAGACCTTTAAGGGAAAAACAGATGTCCCTCTTTTTCTCTCCTTCCTGGCAACTTCTTCGGAGGGTTGACGATGGACTTGGAGGACAGGGAGTTCCCTATCCCGAAGTTCTTGCTGTAGGTGGTGGAGAAGCGCTGCTCGTCCTCCGGGGAACTCCGGGGCGTGTGTGGGGGGGGGGGGGGGGGGGCTTGTATGGTGGACACCCGGGGTCTATTTTGACACCTTTTTGGGGCACTGGACTTTATGAACCTGCAGTCTGCCAAATCAATTCTAAGTGGTCCATAGAGGCAGGGCGAGACTTCAGCCTCAAGATGCACCAGGACCTCCCTGGTTTCTGTCGGAAAATGTAGTGAGCCCCCCTTGCCCCGCCCAAATGGATCATAGCCTACTGCTGACCAAGCCTCCTATGGAAGGGCCATGATTGACAAATAATTTGCGCCGGCGGCCCTTTTCTGAAGCCTGAAGGGGGCAAATTCTACATACAGTCTTCCGACAATGGATTCTTCGCAACAAATGAAATTCCAGGACCCTCCCATCCATTGACATGAAACTAAACAAGGCCCTCTGATGGACGCGAGGGCCAGGTTAAGGATGCAGTTGGTGGTGTTTGGATGTATCCTTTACTTGGCGCAACTCTTGGGGAATACAACAAATTGACAATTTCATATTCTGGTCAGTATGTAAAATCTAGCCTCTCCCCAACGCGTAGCATCATGTTGAAGGAGACCCCAGCAGGGTATGTGTGAAGATAGGGGAACCCCCCAAATCTTTCCTTTGCCTTTACAGTAAACCAACCTCACACAAGCGTACCAAGCCTCAAAAATCGACCTGCTCGTCTTGTTCAGCGACCCTGCTGGAAAAAGCGATCCCTCTTCGGATTTCACGATGTTCAGGGAAGCCATCGAACCAAAAGGGGAAACATCGCATATGTCTTGCCACTGGACTCCCCAGCTGAAGTGACGCCCTGGGACGTGTCCTTCACCGGCTCCAGCTTCTTCACCGGCTCCGAGCCCCATGGCCCTCCGTTTCGGTACCCCATGGCTCGCTCCAGGGGTATGGCTTGAGCCTTGAGCCTCGGCTGGGTGTTTGGGCCCAAAAGTCCAACGAAAATGCGTGTGTGTGTGTGTGGATCCTGTTTTGTTTTTCAGGCTTGGGAAATCACAAGTGTGAACAGAATTCAAGAATCCATGCCAGCGGAACACCTCACAAACACCACCAACACCAACCACCCGGATGTCACTGAGACGAAGCGCCAAGACGAAGCGCCAAGACGAAGCGCCAAGACGAAGTACCAAGGCAGACCACGACCGGGACACTACTGGCACACCGCTCCGGCACAACTGGGCGCGCTTTTTCCAAGGCCTTTGCAGTACAAAGCGAAGCCACCCCAGCGCGGGGAAGTAGTAGAACTGCTCCTGAACGCTGCGAAGCCGCGGGGCTTCACCCAAAAGGTTCCAGACCCCCTGGTTCTTGGGCTCACTTTCTGAGTAGTGTGGACAGAACAAGTCTATTTTTTGTTTGCCACTGCATGGTCTTCCCAAAAAATGTTTGAAAATAGTCGTGTAGCTGGGGATTGAGAAAATGGTATCCACCCGCAAACGCTGTTTGGAGCCTGGGATCACACCCAAGGTGTGCAGCTAATGAAGTGAAGGACACACTATACCAAGGGCATACACACACACACACAAAACACACAAAACACACAAAACACACAAAACACACAAAACACACAAAACACACACACACACACACAAAAAAAACACACACACACACACACACACGCCTATACACATATGTATATATATATATATATATGTGTGTGTGTATGTATGTAGGTATGCATGCATGTATGTGTGTATATGTACATATAAAGGATGTATACACACAATTGGTCCTCCTCCCTGGTACACACCCGCTGGGTTTGGACATGGCTCGATTTGAAGGCCGGGGTCGACGCGGGCCGGGGTCGACGCGAGCCCCGCACCCGACCATTCAGTTCACTTTTGGCGAATCTGAAAATGCGCGACAGGACAAAAAGGCGAGTTAACTGGTTCAAGGAACAGCTTCGAGGGCATTCCTTGCAACTCGGGGCACACAGACAATCAGTTTGTAGCCCTGAAAGAATCGTGTTGGAGAAGACCCCAAGCTTCCGCACTCACCCCGTTGCCCTCCTGGCCCTCGCGCTCTCGGACCTGGCAGGAAAGGCATAAGCGTGGGGGTGGTTTGATACCAAATTCAAGTCATGACCCTCAGTCCTGACCATAGGAGCGAGACGGAAGGAAGTTGACCCCTACTAGTGCGCGGCAGTACGTCGAGGAATCCCTCGTGATAGGACTCATTTTAGTGTTGGCAAGCTCCGACATTGCCAGGCTGCAACTCCGAAAATAAGAAAGTCGCATACTGGCCACTAAATAAGCCATAAGTCTGCATTCCATTGAACGCGTGTCTTGACCCCAAGATACCTACTCCATGGAACCCAAACAGTGGTCCCCTGGAAAAAGTCTTTAAAGCCTGTTGCTTTCGTTTTTCTCTTGAGGTGGAATCTGCAGAGGAGTACTCTTTGCAATTGTATCCATCCTTTTTGCGGGTTTGCTTGTCAAAACAACCTGTGAAGTTGCAACGCCGCCAAAGGGAGGAAGCCCCAACACCCTCAGCAAAAGCCCTCAGCCACTGCAATTGCTGCACTTGCCACATGTCCATGACCCAACTGCGGAGCACCAGCCAAGCTTGCAAGTTTGGCTTCGCAAGGCGGGAGGCGCTGCCTCAACAACCGGGTGCGTCTGAAAATAAAGGGTATCGCCGAAAACTGCAGATCTCCTCCGGGCGTCCCTTAAATCATTGAAACATGTCTAACACGTCGTACAACCTGTTCTCTGAGTGGGACTCCTGCCTCAAGCAAAAGAAAGGAGCGACAACCTGCAAAAGACCGAGCGGGCTAAGGATCCACAAAACGCCCGAGGTTGTTGGGCCCCCTACTGCAAGGATGGATTCCGGCTCTGCATAGGCCGCCAGCAAATACTCTACACCTCAAGGGCGAGCGAAAGCGAATCATGTACACATATGTATACACCTATATAAATATATAATACTACATGATATATGCATGTGTGTGTGTGAGCGTACTCAGCAATAACGGCAATATTGGTGTATTCGATGCCACGGCACTTGGGTGAAAGTGGAAAGTATTCATCAGGATTCTCTGAGCTAAAGCCTTGCCCCCCCCCCCCCCCACACTCGGCACAAAATTGACGCGTCTGCAGAACCATGGGGCGAAGAGTAGATTCCCTTCTGGCCTGGGTTGCGGTGGCGTAGGATAGGGGAAGCCTTCTTGGCCCTACCCTTTGAGCTCATACAGCTGTTGCCCAGAAACCTCCCAAGCCCAGAGCCCCATCAGGTCTGGGGCTGCAGCTGGCAATCCATGCCAATGCATCTGCTATCGCGAACAAGCCCAACATGCTCAAGGCGGCTCCCAGGCTTCCACGCAAGTTGCGCGTTGTTCAGGATTGCGGGCTGTGAGGTTACAGTGGCACCCTGAATTAGAGCCGAGTAATTGCAGCCGGGTTTGGGGCCCATTAAGGACCACGGGTCAGCACCTTCTTCCCTTGGCTCCTTGCTTGGCTCTAAATCATTTAAAGTTGTCCCGGCATTGAAAAAGCGTCCTAAGCTGAAAGAGTGCAACCCCAGCACCTTGCAAATTCCAGGTCTACGCAAAACTCACCTAAACTCCTACGCACCCCTACGCCGAAGGCACCGGAGGGAGAGGCATAGCGGACATAGAAACCAACAGACAAAGAGGAAACGGGTGGAATCCACTGAACAGATGGGCCTGGCAATCCCAATGACAAAAGTCTAAGACAAACTACAACAAAATCACGGGGAGAAATGTGCATTCAAAAACTTTGTACCAAGGACGGCGCCTATTGATTCCTTGGCACTTTCCTTTTAGATATTTGGAGGCATGCACGCCATTGCTGTTGATGGCTTGTGCGGCCCATTCGTTGCACAAAGTTATCAAAACAAAAAAGCAACAACTCCAAAACTAGCCCAAACGAAGACCACATACACAAGCTTGCCCAACAAGACCGGCACATGCCCAAGGCCTGAACTAAGATCTGGCGACCCAAGCTGGGTCGCCGTACCCCAGAGGCAGCCCACACCCAAGATCAGCAGCAACACGCAGGCTGCCCTAGCGCGCGTAATCTGGTTCCGGAAAGGCGCGACCCACTTGACCAGACTAAGATACAAGAAGCTATGTTGATTTGGTTGTTGTCAGCAGTCTTGCTTTGTTTTTTTGGGGGAGCACTTGGCAAAAGAGCAACATACAGTAAGGAAACCCAAAAGGGCAAAAGTGCGAAAGAGCAAGATCAACAGGCCCACTGCGTCACGCATATGTTTGCAAAGAACCAAGCATCCAAGCGTGTTTATCCCAAGGGTACGGGGAAACTTGTTTGTGTTGCCAATCTTCGCAAGCAAACACTTGCTGGCACCATGCAAAGTCATTCGGGTCAGCACTGCTCAATCTGAGCGGGTACCTGTGTTTTTCCGCCGGGTTCACGCCAGATCCACCCAAAATGCGTTGCGGGCTGCACGAACACGAGAACATCCAACAGGACACACGCGGTGGCTAAACACGACTCTTCGTTATGTTCCTGGCACCTCAAAGTCAGCCCAAGGTGGCCAATGGATCCACGATACTTTAAGCTGCGGTTTGAGAATTTCTCAAGATTCTGGACCCCCTTTGACTTAGAAGTTAAATGGAAACCAAACACTTTCGGGGACCCCCCTATTTTGAGAAACATCTGTTTGAAAGGGAGCCACCACTCACGCAAAGAAACCCAGAAAAACGGCTTCGATCACCGACCTCCTGGCTGCACTCCGGAAGCTGCCGCTGGCCTTGCTTTCTGAGCAGCTTTCCCAAACAAAGTCGGAACTCGTTCTTTGCCAAAGTGGCCTCCCAAAAATAATTCTAAAAGTCCAGAAGTGGCGAAAGTGAGGGTGGGGAAATCATTTGGAGCTGTGAATTTGAATCGCGTCTACGAACTCACGAGAGCGCGCCATTTCCTACTATCAATGGCTCACTGCGAGAGGGCATGCTTGACTCAGTTAGGATTGCTTTCGCGTGGGCATCCAGCGTGTTTGTCTCCTCTCTTTTCTTGTGTGTGCGCGCCGTGTTTGAGCTGCATGCTTCCCGCGAAATCTAGGACTTAGAGTAGCGTGCTTTGCGGCGAAGCACTTGCTAGTGTTGACCTGCATGCATGATGGCTTGTCATGTCTTTCCCAGCCCTTGCCTCCACAAACCTTTCCCTAAAAAGCAGAGGCCCAAAGTCAGACCCAGAAAGTCAGATATGACCGTAAACCTCGGCCAGACTTGGACCCCCTGCAAAAAGAGGGAAAATGCTCAAAACAAAAAAGCGAAAAGCCAAAAATATCCAAAAAGGTAAGAAAAGATTCTGGCAATGACCAAAGGGGGGTTGCAGCTCCAGGAAGCCTTATGCTGACCTTAGGATCATTGCGTTCGCCTGCCTCTCCCATGCACAAGGAAGGTGCCAAGGAAGAGTTGCAGTCCTCTTACCCACATAGTCACAGGGCGTATCCCGAAGTCGTGTGGTTCCAAGAGCGTTGGTCAAAGATGATTGAATCTAGGCGACTAACAATTAATGTACTGAGTGTACTGCACTTGACCCTAGTATCTAAGTATCCCATGTTGGCTGGCGTCCAGCAGAAGCCTAAAGGAAGCCAACCATGCTAAGGTCCCATGTTGAGACAAACTACCCTTGCGAAATAGGGAGATGGCCAATCCTAATCCTTAATCCCTGGCGGATAAAGCATCGATTTTGAACTGCCTAGTATGAGATAAGTTTCATGATTTGTGGACAAGATGAAGCCCGACTCTTTCCCTGGGCCTCTGGCCCAAAAGCACTACGGCTTGGGCTGACTTGTGTTCTCCATTGGCCGTGAGACCGCCCTTTTCGTTGAATTTCCCGCGCGCCTCACACCAAAGAAAGGGAAAAGGTGGGACTCTTGCGATTGGGTTGCTCCTGAAACTCCACGTGAAACAAAAGCTTAACTTGTTGG